TATTTTAAAGGATATTAAAATAGAAACCATTATTTTATATTGTAATAACATTTTGCAATATTACTGTTTTTTTTTCTGTATTTTTGATCAAATAAATGCAGCCTTGATGAGAAAGAGGCTTCTTTAAAAAACATTACAAGTCTTACTGATCCCAAACGTTTGAACGGTAGTGTGTATATATATATATATATATATATATAATATCTCTGAATACTTGTATCGATAATGATATCGATGCCAAAAACTGCCCACTCCAATTAAAAATGAAGCATTTTACCATTAAACATTGTTCATGTTTTTAATCTTGCTGCCAATTTTTAAAAAATCCAACTTATCAAAATAATTTCTGGTTTAAAAAAAAAGTCTCTTTGAAAACATGTTATGAAAAATATGCAAAGATACCCACTTCAGGTTTTTTACTTTCCTTATCTCATTAAATTACTGAATCACTTAGGGTTAGAAAGCAAATGAGAACCATAACTCAGAGCTATCAGCAGTAATCTTGTAAGAGAAGTTCAGATCTGGCTAGATTTAGCTGGATTTACGTGAGTGTGTGTGTGTGTGTGTGTGTGAGAACTGCACCTCTGCGGTGGGTCTCGCCAGTTGTATTTGTGTGTAAGTGTATAAGTGTGTCTGTTCACCTACGGGATGTGAATGAATGCTGAAATAAGCAAATTAATCAAGGCTGAATGCGTGTGCTGGGCTAGAGAGGCTGTTTTAATGAGTGTGCAGACTGAACACTAATGAGCTGACTCTAATAAGGGGATCTAATGAGCGAGTTGCCACGGTAGCAGGTACCCGGTGCATGGTGTGTGCTGTTTTGTGGGACACGTGCCTCTGAACCAGACGGGCGGTCAGGAACATAAGTGTGTGCTAGGGAACAATCAGAACCTATTAATGTTGTACCCAACACTTTATAAGGACCTTCATTAATAATTCATTATAGTTATCCAACTTGTCATCAATTCTTAATAATGTTATGAAATATTTATTACACACACACAGACATATAGTATATATATATATATATATATATATATAGTTGTCCTTTCTTTAAAAAATACTGACTTCAAACTTTTGAACAATAGTGTAATTTATATGCTTCATCTTTGATTTTTTTCTTCACCAAGCTTATTGCAGTGCATTTTGGGATTGCCTAATATATGTAAAGAATGAATGTGATGCTGCCCTAGACTTCTAAATATGCTATTTTAGAAGGTTCTCTAGACAAAAATACTCTAACATGTTGTTTAGGTAGGAAGCCAGATTCACCAAACTCCTTGCCGTCAGCCACGTTCTTGAAATTCAAGATTGCTACAAGCATTTGTTAAAGCATTAGTTGTAAACCTTTAACCATGACAGCTTGCTTTGAGCAATAATGTAAGCGTTATTATATATGTGTGTTTGTTGCTGTAATGATGGTGTATGGTACACATCTCTCCTCCAGCAGTGTTGCTTTACCTTTCCTGACAACATTATGCGTGTAATGGAATATTAGCATGTCTAAAGGCTTTGGCATATTTTGGGAAAGCGTTTTGTATTTCCGCCGTGGCTCAAGAGTTGCCTGCAAAACAGCGTTATCTGTGAGCCCCGGTTGTGTTTATGTGTATTTGTGTGCTTTGTGTACGTGTTTGTGCGCGATTAAACAGACAAATCTCTGCTGGAGGCTGACTGCTGCTTTGCTTTTGGAGCCTAGTGTGCTGTATGGAGCTGTAACGGGATTATAAGGCCTACTGAACACACTCTCTCTCTGTGCGTGTGTGTGTGTGTGTGTGTGTGTGTGTGTGTGTGTGTGTGTGTGTGTGTGTGTGCGCGCGTATGTACAGGAGTATAAAACGTCTCTTCCATCAACACACTTTCAGACTGGCCCAGAGCTGAGCTCACACAAAACACATCTTTACTCTTATATGTCCTCTCTCACTTTCTGTAAAATTTCTCACAAACAAGAACATTCATACCTGTCACACTCATGTTTCATTCATATCAGGGCAGCGAGAGCATGTGTGTGTGGGTGAATTTCATGAAAACTGTAATGTCCTGGTTATATCACTCCAAAATCAAATGAGAAATTACAGTTTGCATAATGAATAACAGTTTTAAGCTCAACTAAAAAATTAGGATGAATTTGATGTTTTTTTTTTCTTTAAAGAAATAAAAAATGACATGACACAAACAAATCCTGATAATCATGTTCTCCATGATTTGAGATGATCCAAGAATTTTGTGCTTTAATGGAAGCAAGACGATGCGAGTGTCTGTACAAAGAGTCATGTGATCAGTGTCAATAATTATGTGATTAAGAGAAGAAACATCATAATGTTTCTAATGTTTTGTTTTTTAAATCTTAAAGATGTCTATATATTTTCAGGTCTAAACTGGATTTTGAATAATTTATTTTCAATGTGATCTCAGGTGTTTGGACCCCATAATATAATTATTTAACAACGATAGATTTTAGTTTTAATATTATTTTTAATACTAATTTAGTATTTATTAATACTCTGAGGTAGCTTGTATTTTCATTTTGTCAGTTTTATTTAAATTTTAGTTTTAGTGAATTTATATGCTTTTGCCACTTTTATTAGTTTTTTTTCTATTTCTATTTTGCTTAATTTTTATTTTTAGTAATTTTGTTTTATTTGTTTTTAGTAAAATTGTTTTATTTCAGTTTCTGATTTCAAAATGTCAAATTTTTATGCTATTTATCTATTTAATTTTTATCTTATTTTAGAATTTTTTTTCAATTATCAAAACATTATTTTTTTTATAAAGGTTTAGTGTCTAATTTTACGTTTTAAATTTTTTTCCCAATGTAATATTTTTAATATATTTTTTTTAATTAACGAAAAAAAAAAAGTTTTTGTTGTGGTTAACAATAACCACACCACACCATAGCATTTAATTTATATTATTCTTATTTCTATATTATTCTTATTCTTATTCTTATTCTTAATTATAATTAATAATAATAATTGTTCTATTATTTTCACCTTAGAATTATAGGAATTTGTACTTATTGACATGAAAATATTTTCTCTGTGCAAAATATATTTCTCCTTTGCCTTTTTCGATTTTGAGGTGACATATGGCATTTCTTTGTAGTCATTTCTTCGCCAGTGTATATGTGTGTGTGCAGGTTTTTAGTTGTTTCCAGGCACCGGCGGCTCAAAGCCTCGTCTCTGTCTTTGATGTGGCAGGAGTATTGACAGGGTCACACAGATGAAGGGGAGGAGATCTTCATCAGGAATGCTCTTGCTATGGGGCGTCTGATGACCTGAGACTGATGACAGCACTATCACTATCCTCCTGAAATCCAGCCAATCAAAGTCAAAACCCTGCAGTCCCCCCCATGCTACCATACACCTTATATTTCATTACAGTTTTGGTTGTAAATTGCGAAAATGTTCAGTTTGTTTTCATAGAAACTGTTTTGAGAGATTCACAAGCTGGATTCCTCCTCCCTCACCTCTGCGCTCTGGAGCTGGATGCTGGGAAAGTGCTGCTTTGGTCACTGGTAAAGTATCCGCTAAATGACAAGAATCCAATTGCCGTTTTAACTTTTCTAATTAGCTGCTTATGGCTTGACAGGGTTCGTGAGGGTTCTGGATGAAGAGAAGATGAAAGCGTTGAAGACTGCATGAAGCAGCAGTGTGCAAATGAAGGCATGGAAAGCAGAGGGATTTCCCCTACAGAGAGAGAATCCGCCACTGGTCACTGAGTGCAGACAGGAAACCATTAGCGCTGACATAAGTGCTCCCGCCGGACACAGAGACAGAGACATCAGGTGAGCTGAATAGAGTCAATACTAGATGGGCCTTGAATTCAGTTGGGCTGCATTTGCAATGGCTATATTCAATATAAAGTGTCTTTAAAATCGAAATTTTTAAATGTGTTATTATTTTGCCTATTTATTATATTATTCAAATCAGGGCTTCTCAAATATTTTTGTCATCTGAGCCCATTAGATGTAAAATATTTACTTGAAGCTCCCACTGGGATTTAAACAACAACAACAACAACAACAATAATTTAAGAAACATTCACATGTTCACGGTTCTCTGATGTTGGTTAATTGTCACACTGACATACAAATAAACAGACAGAATATTGTTTTTATATTTTCATATCGTTTAAGTAGAAATATTTATATTTTATATTTAT